CCTGGGCTACATAACACCCTTTTCAGGAGTGGAAGTAAAATTTATACAACTAGGGAAAATCTAGAAGAGCTTAGGAAGTACCTTTGAAAACTTACATTCAAACAAACAGACTGGGAACCACAAGATGATATAAACAGATCCATGAAAACCATCAGATTGAAGCAGTAATAAAATGCCTATCACTGCCAAATTCTACCAACCTTTTAAAGAGCTAACAACACTCCTGAAACGGTTGGTCCCCCAAATAGAAAGGGGAGAACACCACTGATGTCACCCCACAAAGCCAGAATATACCGATACCAAAACGAGGCAAGAATCCAACACAGAACACAACTACAGACCAATCTCCCCAATGAGCAGACACAAAAACTCTCAACAAAACACTTGCAAGCCAAACTCAAGAATACATTAAGAAGATCACATACCATGACCAAGGTGGTTTCATCCAGATGTACAAGGGTCAACATGTGCAAATCAATAAGTGTAATACAATGTGTAAATCTATAATAAGGACAAAATGATGTGATCACCTCAATAGATGTAGAGAAGGCCTCTGACAAAGTTCAAGATCCCTCATGACCAAAGTATGGCACAAACTGGGAACAGAAGGAACATATATCAACATAGAAAGTCCATGTGTGACACACATAGAGCCAACATTATACTAAATGAGGGAAACTGAAAGCCGTTCCCGTAAAATCAGGAATGCAATGAAGTGGCCATTTCATCACTCTCATTCAGTATAGAAGTTGAAGTTTTCACTAGAGCAATAAGAGAAAAAAATGAAGGGATACAACCATGAAAGGAAGATGCCAAAGTATTCCTATTTACAGGCAATATGATCCTACATTTAAAAGTCCCAAAAGACTCCACCAGAGGACTCGTGGATCGGATGAACACTTCTAGCAAATAATAAAATGAACAGACAAAAAGCAATAGCCAGTCTATATATCAGTAATGAACTCACTGAGAAGAAATTCTGAAAAAAAATCCATTTAAACAATAAACAAAACAACAACAACAAAAAAAAAAACCCAAAACACCAAAAAATCACCAACCCTAGGAGGGCCCGTGAGATTGTTCAGAGGGTAAGCCACCAAGGCTGCAGCCTGAGTACAGTCCCAGGGACCCACTTGGTGGCAGGAGAGGGCTGACCCCAGCAAGCTATCTTCTAACCTCTACAAGTATGCAGCGGCACACATGCCATCTCCTGCCCCGACACACAGGTGGGCACAGGTGCTTACTGCCAAGCCTAACAATCCAGGTTCAACCCCAAGTGCCCATGGTGGAAAGAGACAGCAGACTCCTCTAAGCTGTCCTCTGACTTCTGTACGCATATGCAATAGCACACAACCGTGGCACACATATGCCCATGTGCACACATACACACAAATTATTTAACTAATCATTTTTAAAACTCTAAGAATAAACACAACCAAGCAGGTGAAGAAAGATCTCTACAATAAGAATGGTAAGACACTGAAGAAAGACCAGAAGATACTAGGAGATATTAAAGGTGTTTTTGTGCTGATAAATTGGCAGAATTAATGCTACAAAAATGGCTGGGTTACTAAAAGCTGTGAATAAATTCAACACAATCACCATCCAATTTCCAATGACATTCTTCAAAGAACCAGGAAAAAAATAAGTATAAAATTCATATGCAAGCCAGGTGGTGGTGGCGCATGTCTTTAATCCCAGAACTCGGGAGGCAGAGACAGGCGGATCTCTGTGAGTTCGAGGCCAGCCTGGACTACAGAGCAAGATCCAGGACAGGCACCAAAACTACACAGAGAAAGCCTGTCTCAAAACAAACAAACAAACAAACAAACAAACAAACAAACAAACAAACAAGTTCATATGCAAGTACAAAAGAATCCAAATACCCAAAGCAATCCCAGATAGAAAGAGCAGTGCTGGAAACATCACAATTCCTGATCTCACACTATACTCCAGAGCCCTAGTAACGAAACAGACCAAGGATAGGATAAGAGGACCCAAGTGGGCAATGTGGTGCATCCGTATGACCCCAGCTCCGGGAAGTAGAGGCCGGAGGATCAGGAGTTCAAGGCCAGCCTCAAAAAAAGAAAGGAGGAGGAGGAAGAAGGAGGAAGGTTGAGAAGAGGAAGAGGAGGAGACAAAAAGCAACCAGTACTGTTGAGGATGTGAGGAAAGAGGCTTCCTCACTGCTGGCGGGGACATGAACCGGTGCAGCCACTTCAGAAGTCAGTGTGGAGATTCCTCAGAAAACATAAAACTGAAAACAACTTGCATAGCCTTGTTTACCACTGCATTTTTTCATGATAGCTAAGAAAGGAACCAGCCTGGATGTCCACTACCAGATGAATGGATAACAAAAATGTAATACACACACAATGGAATTTTATCTAGTCATAAGGAAAATAAGAATCATGACATCCACCAGAAAATGGATAGAAGTGTAGTTTTTTGTTTTGTTTTGTTTTTAATGTTTGTTTGGTTTTTTTGTTTTGTTTTTCAAGACAGGTCCTGAGTTCAATTCCCAACAACCACATGGTGGCTCACAACCATCTGTAATGAGATCTGGTGCCCTCTTCTGGCCTGCAGGGATATGTACAGACAGAACACTGTATACATAATAAATAAATAAATCTTTAAAAAAAAAATTCTATGAAGTCCAGGATGGCCTTGAATTTGCTCTTTCTGCCTGGCACGGGCCTCTTTCCTATTGTCACAATTGACGAGACAGCCTGGCATGGAGGGCTGGGGGCCACTCCCAACACCCAGGAGGGCACAGTCAGACTGTGACGCGGCTTAGTGGGAGAACTCTGCCATAGCACGGCCACGGCCCTGGGCACCATCCCTAACACAGGAAGAAGACAAAAATGCCAAGGCTGAGAAGCGTTAGGGTCCCACAGTGCTGGATAAAAGACTAAATCCCCCACCACAGGCTCTGGATGCCAGCTGACTCGGGAACACAGCAGGGCTGTGGGGTGACCTCCACCAAGCACCTGGGGCTGCGCTCCTCTTTGCTCTGTGGAAGTCTTGTTCACCCTTCACTTCCCACCCTGGATGCCTGGAGACCCCTGCCTGCTGGCTGCTCTAGGCTTCCCGGGGTGACAGGAGCCCCTGTCGGAAGCCATTTTGGCTGAAACTCCAGGTAGAGTCAATGTTACCCACTAGTTCCAGCGGTCACTGTCTGGCCAGGGCTGACCAGCCTCTACAGCCTACCCCTGCCCGGTCTCTGCCGCTCCTGTAGAGAGCGCCTGGACTCTCAGGTGGGTGGCCGAAGGGGGATGCAAGGGCAGAGCCTGCTCAGCATCAAAGATGTCCCCAGGCCTGGGAGGCGAGAAGGGAAGGTCGCCAGCTCAGCTTTTTGTCAGAATGAATCCCTGGGTGGAAAGCCCAGCCGGCCGAGCCTCAGAGATCCACTCACTGCTGACTCATTGGCTTAGCAAACCGAGCATTCGCCATGCACACCCTAGGCCAGGCGCTGAGACCGACATGCACTCCTGTGACCCCATCCCCCACCCCAGGCACAGACGCTGCCTCTGGAAGAACAGGCCTGCTAAGGGCCTGCTTCCTCTCTTAAGGCTGCTGTTCCAACCCCTGTGTTGACCACAGACCTCAGGCTTCTGGCAACCTCTCCAGACACCGCACGGCCAGAAGCCCTCCTTCCCAACCATGGCTCCTCCTGTGGGAGTCTCTGGAGAGCCTGGTTCTCGAGAACAAAACCTTCCCAGGACACAGGAGATTCGTGGTACCGACAGCAATTTTAGGCTGGGTGGAGAAGAGGCCACAGTGCTCCCTCCTGCAGCCGTGGCCCTGACCACGGGGTGAAGGATGGATAGGCAGGCCACAGAGTCAGCATGGATCCAAGTCCGCTGCTGCCTCATTCCCTGACCTGAAGCCTCGTTCCTCAGCTCTGACCGGAAGCGGGGAGGTGGGAGGGAGCCCAGACTTGGGTAGACAGACCTGTTTGAAATCCTGGAGATGCCATCTTTTGGTGCGCGACCTGCAAGTCACCACCTCCCTGAGCCCTGATTTCCTCATCTATAAAATGGGGTTAACAGAGCTTCCTTCCTGTGACCAATGACTAACCTTACTCCTTCTGCAGAAGAGGACTCTGGGCCCACACTTTGTGGCTGTCACAGATCGGTAAGTAGGAAATCTTTTGATTCACAAAATCATCCCTGAGCCCCTAGAAGGCAGCAAACTACCTTTTGGGTGGGCTTCAGAAGACAGAGGCCTCTATCGCCCTCTGCTGGCCACTCTGGTTTCTTCATCCTTCCTAGACAAAAGCAAGGATCCACCATAGTGGTTCTCAACCTATGGGTCACAACCCTTTCATGGGGTTACCTAAGACCATCAGAAAGCACATATATTTACTTTATAATAAATAACCGTAGCAAAATTACAGTTATGAAGTAACAACAGCATAATTTTATGGTTAGAGGTCACCACAACACGAGGAGCTGTATTAAAGAGTCACAGCATTAAGAGATTGAGAACCACTGATGTAGCAGAATACAGGGGCTCCCTGGACCCTCCAGGAGTCGGAAGGGAGGCCAAGCAGTGACTTGCACCAGAGCACCATGGAGGATGTGGCCTTGGTCCCTGCTCCATTTCCTACACCATCTGTGCCCCCTGACCCAGCGGGTGTTAGGGCCCAGACCTCCTGACACCCGTGTGCCCAGTTCTGCTGGCCACCTCCACCAGAACAACCTGAGGACCCTCTGCAGCCAGTCTCCACTGTCCCTGCTCCTCCCTGACTCTGATTCCACCCCTGTTCCTCTGCTAACTAAGAACTTGGATGCAATGCTGTTTTGCCTTGATGGCATCCTGTCACTGCTGAAGGCCATGCATCCCCCAGCAGTATCCTCTTGGGCTGCAGGTGCTGCTGCAAGCATCCTGGGGCACCCAGACTGGGCAGGAGCTGAGCCTGGCCCTGGGCACCCAGGCTGGGCAGGAGCAAAGCCTGGCCCTGGGCACCAGGCTACAAGTATACAACAGGCACTTACATGCTGGATCAGTGTCTCCACGATCTTGTAGCGGTCCGGCATGTGGGTCACCATGTCTGTCATGTTGTCCTCAGATGTCCTTACCAATGTTGGCCCGAAGACCAGAGCCAGGTTCCGGGGCTCCATCTGGGTTGGGGAGGGGAAAATCCCAGGATCATTGCTTTGAGCACAGGACCCTTCACTCCAGGTCACTGAGACTCCCATCCCCGACCCTGATCTGTCCTGAGATTAGGGGCTGAACATCCCACATGGGCATGGAGAGGTTTGCCAGGTGAAGTACAAGCCAGATGTTTAGCCTCTCACATTTCCAGGCCTGGCAGCCATGATCAGTGCCGACCTCACACACCCATCCAGGGTAGCCCTCGTGGTAAGTGATAGTATGGGGATTCTGGTGTGGGAGACATGTTGGAGACTCTAGTGTAGTTTAGAACAGGGAGGAATCCCTTCATTCCTCTCCTTTTCTCCACTGCAGAACCAAAAGACAGAAAGAACTGGATTAGGAAGATGTAAAGGGAAGGGATTGGCGCTGGACCAGAGGACAGATGCCACTTGGCATGGGGCACAGTGGCTCTTGGCTTCTACGTGGCCCTCAGCAACTCAGGAACTGGCTCTGTGAGGGAACGGCGCTGGCCCAGCTGCAGGCTGGTGCACTGGCCCAGTGTGGTAGGCATAGACCAACAGCCTTAGGAGATGGGGATTACGGGGCCTCAGATCATGCTGAGGAGGCACGAATTCCATGCAGCCAGTGCTTCCCAGACTCCACCAGGGAACTACACACACCTTGTTTTTCTCTGAGTGGTCAGCAATGGTCTTGAGATGGCCCACGAGGAATTTAAGCGTTTCATAGTAGTGTCCTGGGAGATCCCGGATCTAGGGGACAGGAGGAGGGAAAAGGGTCCAGGCTGTGGTGATCTCTCCAATCCACCCTCCACCATGCTCCAAAGAGACTCCCATTGCCCCACCACAGGGAGCTGGAATCCACCTGCCAACCCCCTTCCTTGGTTCAGATGGGGAAACTGAGGCTATCGGTGGAGAAAGACTTCTCCAAAGCCTCTGGGGGGATGGCACCAGGCTGCCCCTCCAGCCTGGCAGGATCCAGTCCTCACCAGCTTCCGCAGAGTCTTCATCCTCTCCCTGGAGTCTTCTATCCGATTGGCCTCGATGAAGTCATTGTATTTGTCTAGAAGACAGGAGAAATGCTCAGAGGTGGAGGCAGCCCCTTCCCCACTCTGGGAGCTGAGGATTCCAGCCAGGAGGAAGGCCTTGCTGCAGGGAAGACCTGGGCTTTTTGCTGATCCTTGCAAAGGGTCCCCCCCCAGCCCTGTCTTCAGGCCAAGGATCTCAAGACTCAGTAGGTCAGAAATAAGAAGAAGGACCTTCAGACACCTCACCGACCTCAACAGTCCTCAGCTTCTGAGGTTCCCAAAGATGTCCCAGGAACTTTAATACCGAAGCCCTTTTTCCTATGCTCCCTGGGGGTGCAGCCTCCATCAGGTTAGCTGGGATGGAACTTCCAGCAAATAAGGATTTAGCATGGCCAGGACCTCAATACCATCCCCAACACCCCAAAATATAAAACACAGTTCGTCCAGATGAGCCATCTGCAAGAACGGCCAAGAATATGGTTTAGGGCCAGGGACATGGCTCAGTGGGGGACAGGCTGTACCAGCATGAGGACCAGGATGCTGGACCCGCAGCACCACATGGAAAGCTTACTGTGACAAGGCTGGAGAGATGGCTTGGAGGTTAAGAACACCGACTGCCCTTCCAGAGGTTCTGAGTTCAATTCCCAGCACCCACATGGTGGTTCACACCTGTCTATAATGGGATCTGGTGCCCTCTTCTGGTGTGTAGGCATACATGCAGACCATAGACAAAGCACCCATATTCATAAAATGAACAAATAAATAAATCTCAAAAAAAAAAAAAGCTCGAGTGGCAGCATGCCTTGTCACCCCAGTACTGGAAGAGGGGACAGGAGGATCCCCGGAACTCACTAACTGGGAGCCCAAGATTCAGTGAAAGACCTTGTCTCTGTAAGTTAGGTGTAGAGTGATGCAGGACGACACTGGATGTCAATCCCTGGCTTTTGAAGGCGTGCACATGGGGCACAGGGAGGACTGGGATTCCGCTACAGGACATGTGCAGTGGGGAAGGATGCAGGCATGCCCGCATGCCAGGGACCATGAGAGAGCGTCCACTGCTACATCACACAACACCAGCTAGTTTAGTTCCGTGACACAGAGCCTAATATACAAATCAAAATACCAAAGGTGAGGGCCTACGAGGGGGCTCTGTGGGTAAAAGTGCCTGCTGCCAAGTCTAAGGACCGGAGTTCAACCCCTGGGTCCCACATGGTGGAAGGAGAGAACTGAATCCTGCAAGCTGCCCTTTGACCTCGACATGAATGACTTGGCAAGCTGTGTATTCCTTCCCCATACTAGATAGATAGATAGTAGATAGATAGACAGACAGACAGACAGACAGACAGATAGATAAATGTAATGTAATTATTAAAAGATCAAAGGCAAGCTGGGCATGCTGGTTCATGCCTATAATCTCAGCACTCAGGAGGCTGAGGCAGGAGGATTTCCCTAAGTCTAAGGCCAGCCTAAGTTAGAGCAAGAACCTGTCTCAAAAGGGAAAAAAAAATCACAGAAGAAAATATTTTTATAACCACAAAGACTAAACATGAGATATTCAACCCATTAAAGTGTTTAGACATTTAAAAATATTGTGTTGGGGGTCTGTGAGACGGCTCAATGGGTAAATAAATTTGCTGCAAAGCCTGACGACCTGAGTTGGATCCTCAGGTTCCACCTGGTGGAAGGAGAATTGACTCTAGAAAGTTGACCTCTGACCTCTACATGCGGGCTATGGTTCCCTCCCCTCCATACTCAGTAAGTAAATAGAGCCGGGCAGTGGTGGCGCACGCCTTTAGTCCCAGCACTGGGGAGGCAGAGGTAGGCTGATCTCTGTGAGTTCGAGGCCAGCCTGGCCTACAGAGTGAGTTCTAAGACAGCCTGGGCTACACAAAGAAACCCTGTCTCAACAAAACAAAACAAAACAAAAAAACAAATAATAGTAATAATAATAGGAAGAAGAAAAAGAAGAAAGAAATAATAAAAATAGGAAGAATTTTAAGATTTTAAACAGCTTTCCATTTCTTTTTCTTTTTTTTAAAAGATTTATTTATTTATTATGTATACAAAAGAGGGAGCCAGATCTCATTACAGATGGCTGTGTGCCACCATGTGGGTGCTGGGAATTGAACTCAGGACTTCTGGAAGAGCAGTCAGTGCTCTTAACCTCTGAGCCATCTCTCCAGCCCCAGTTTTCCATTTCTAAACTGAAAAGTCCAAAGGGAAATGGCAGCTGGCTGTGATGGTATAACCTGCAATCCCAGCATCTAGAAGGCTGAGGCAGGAGGATTGCTTCAAGTATGAAGCTATCCTGGGGTACATAGCAAGACCTTGTCTAAGAAAAAAGTGAAAAAGGCAGGGGAGGGGAGGATGCCACAACAAATAATTGTAAAGATCAACAAGGGTTAATGCATTTGTTCCCACAAACCAAGAGGAAAAAGATGACCCAACAGAAATATAGGTACAGAGCAGGAAGACTCAATTACAGAAGAAATGGAGAGAGCCAATAAACCAAGGAAAAGAGGCTGCCTTGTGGGCAACACAATGAAACCATAGCAAGATACCATCCCTCCTACTGATCAGCAAAAACTTCAAACACTTCGAACAAAGCTGAGGCTGCCATCCCAGTGCATGCCCAGCATGTACAAGGCCCTGCATTTGATGCCCAGACTGCAGAAAAGGAAAAAACCAAACAAGGTGTGGTGGTACCTGCCTGTAATTGCACATACTCAGGAGGAGAGGGAAGAGACAATCAGACGCTGAAAGCCAATCTGAGTAACCTTCTGTTGCCTCAAACCAAACAATAGGAGGCCAGAGACTTGTTGCTCTTCCAGAGGACCCAAGTTCAATCCCCAGCACCCACATTGTAACTCCAGTTCCAGGGGATCTGGAACCTTCTTCTAACCTCCTCAGGCACCAGGCAGAGGCATACATGCAGGCAAACACCCATGCACATAAAGTAAACAAGTAAACCAAAAGAAAAGAGAAGTGAAGGCCGGGCAGTGGTGGCGCACGCCTTTAATCCCAGCACTCGGGAGGCAGAGCCAGGCGGATCTCTGTGAGTTCGAGGCCAGCCTGGGCTACCAAGTGAGTTCCAGGAAAGGCGCAAAGCTACACAGAGAAACCCTGTCTCGAAAAACCAAAAAAAAAAAAAAAAAAAAGAAGAAGAAGAAGAAGAAGAAGTGAAATAAGTGTCTTACTTCTCACAGGAAGACACTGACCTACCACCCCGCATCTGAACACCCACCTACAGAAGAGGGCCAGTCTTGTAAGGACAGACTCAAAGAAGGGCCTGGAAGGTGGAAGGCGATCTAAACACCCACCAGTAGAGGAGCCATCAGAAAAGGCACAGGCTAGAATCCGATTTTGATCTTATGTGTATGAGTGTTTTGCCTGTGTGTATGTCTATACCACGTGTGCACCTGGTGCCCAGGAAGGTCAGAAGAGGGAACCGGATCCCCCGAAGTGGAGCTGCAGATGGCTGTGAGCCACTATGCAGGTGAGGGTCCCTTGCAAGAGCAACCAGTGCTCTTAACCTCTGGGCCATCTCTCTCCAGCCCTGAGAACCAGCTGCTGCTAAGAACAACTCAACAGCAAAGTTGCAGCCTGTTCACACGGCTCCGCAGGCACAAGCACATGTCTCTTTCCTAGTCTGTGTTGGGGACACCAGGCCAGCGGCTTGAATAAGTCACAGCGAGAATATTTACACCACAGACACTGGGAAATGTAACAAACCAGGACGCCCTCCTGTAGAGCGAGTCGTGAACACTCATCCACTCCACCCCATGGTGGTCTGGGGGGCTCACAGCATAAAGGTCAGCAAAGAAACAGCATGGCAGAATTGGCTTGTCTGCCTGGTTATGATTTTCGTTGTGAGTTTTGAAACAGGGTCTCTCTGTAGCCCCGGCTGTCCTGGAACTCTGTAGACCAGGCTGGACTCCAACTCACAGAGATCTGCCTGCCTCTGCCTCCCAAGTGTTGAGACTAAAGGTGTGTGCCATGATGTCTAGTTTGTGATTTTGTTTTTGAGACAGGCTTCTGTTTTATAGCTCTTCGTGTAGCCAAGGCTAGCCTCAAAAGTATCATCTTCCTGCCCCAGCCTCCTGAGTGCTGGAATGAAAGGCGTGCACTGCTAGACCCATTCAGGCTGTTAATGGCACGCAGCTGAGTACATGGGCTATGGATGGGTTTGGGGCCAGAAGCCTGAAGTGGAATCCTGGCTGTGCCACTCACAGGCTGGGTGACCTTAGCAAGTCACTTTACCTCTCTGAGCCACTATGTCTTGGTCCATGAAGGAGTTTGATAACAGTTCCTCTTTGGGGAACTGTTTCAGGGAGCAATGCTAGGCTACAGTGGATGCTCAGAGGATGGCCATGACCTCAAGGAGGGAGGACAGAGTGACAGGACTGACACACGGCTACACAGACTCCATGTCTGACATGTGCAGAGTCCTTTGGTGTTTTTAAAAATAGAATAAAAACAAATACATATAAAATACAACTCAGGCTGGAGAGATGGCTCAGTGGTTAAGAACACTGGCTGCTCCTCCAAAGGTCCTGAGTTCAATTCCCAGCACCCACATGGTGGCTCACAACCATCTGTAATGAGATCTGGTGCCCTCTTCTGGCCTGCAGGCAGAACACTGTATACATAATAAATAAAGAAATCTTTTAAAAAATAATAAATAAAATAAAACTCAACATTAAAACCAACAACCAAGAGTGAGAGGGAGTGTACGTATGGCAGGGAGTGGTGAGCGATGGCATGGATGGCATGTCCCCGTCCCCGCCCCCGTCCCTCCCCTCACCCCCGTTCCGCCCACTACTCACCGTCAGTGAAGAGGGGCTCCGGCAGCTTTCGGAAGAAAGCCTTGAGCAGGCTGCTGATCACATTGAGGTCCTGCCAGCGCTGAGGAGGAGCAGAGAGGTCAGGACAGGCGTGCTCACCCCAGGTGCCCATGTCCCCTTCCACACCAGGTCTAGGAGCAGCCAGGCCACCCAAGTGCCCAGGCCTCCATGTCTGTCCAGTGGGTTCAATACCTGCCTACCACAAATAGCAAAAGGACCCAACCTGGGGGAAGTGAGGGAAGCGGCCCCACAGAAGCATGCCTGGTGTATCCACACGTGCCAGGGTTAAGAGTGACCCTCAGACCACCCTTTTGACCCACAGTCTAAGTGTCCACAGCACAGGCCTCACATGCTGCCCCCTTCCATTCCTAGGTCCTTTGCACATGTTGACACTGCTGGAACTGAACCTCTGCCCTTCACAGGGCTGGCCCCTCACCCTGTCTCGCTCCCAAAGCCCAAGCAGCCATGGATGCCACTACCCAGTCATCTGCACTGCACTCCGACTTTCTTCCAGGTGTTTCTTTTGTTTGCTTGTCACTACCTCCTGTGAGGCTGGGCTCTGTGAGGGGCAGGGATCCAAACGCTCTCATGGCCCCCAGGAGTGTTTGGCAGTATCTGGGAGCATTGCACACATGGATGATAGAGGCCAGGGATGGTGCTAAATGACCTCCAGTACAATACAAAAGCACACGCACGCACACACACACACACACACACACACACGCACGCACGCACGCAACGCATCAATACATAATTTGCCCCAAATGGCCACTGAACTAGGTAGGGTAAAGAAACTGCTCTAATAAAGAAGGAATCACCAGGTCATTCTGTCCACCAGGGGGCACCAACACCCTACATGCTGTAGCTAGGAACTAGGCTTAGGTACCCTCCTGGGAACCACTCAGAACTAACTGCCTAGAAAGCATGGGAACGCGGTCAATAGAAGATACAATCCTATGCACACTTATCACAAAAAGCCTCAGCTTAGTGCCAGGTAGTCCCCAACATCACCCTCTCTCCACGGGCTCCACACAGAGCCCTGACTTCCTGCACACCCCAGAGGAACCAGTGTGACTGATGGCTACCAAACTGCAGTCAGCACACTGGACATGCCTGCTTGACCCTGGGTCAGGCCGGCCAGCCCTCCAAGTCTGGCTCCTCTTCTCGCTGGCTAAGGCGAGCTGATGTATTTCACTTCACGCTGACCCAGTGGAGTCACTCCTACAGGCCTCTCCCCCCCATTCCTTACCTCTTCCCGGTCCTGAGGAGCGAGCGCCTCCCATCTCCCGGCTGCCAAACCTAAGACCTTTCTGCTCAGGTCTGGTCTCCTGTGACAGGGCTCCTAAGAGCCCTGTCCTTCTGCCCTTCCAAGCTGGTGCCAGTTTGCTTTTCCCAGACAGCAGTCCCTTGGTTCCAGGCTGTCACATGACCCCACTCAGTCAGGGGCTGAGGATCCTGTCAGCCCATACAGGTGATGTGCATCACCCCAGATTCAGTGGGGCCACCATCTGACCCACCCCCCTCAGACGCTCTTCAAGCCACTCTCTTCCTCCTGCAAGCGGCAGCTCTCCCTTACGGTCTCTGCCCCTCGTTCCTCCCTCTCTGCCTCCACTTACCCAGGGTCCGCTGTAGCAGCCTGACCTTCAGTGACCCCACACCTCAGGGGCCTCTTCTTCCCCCACCCTCTGCTCTTCCCGCTCTCCACTCAGCTGTCACGAAGCCTCAGCACCACTCACTCTGGCACTCTTGACTGTGCCTCCCCAGTGTAAGAACTACCAAAAGCTCCCTACTGTCCACTGGCTCAAGGTCAAAGGTCAGCGTAAGAACTACCAAAAGCTCCCTACTGTCCACTGGCTCAACATCAAAGGCTCCAGGAACCTATCACATGCCCTGGGCCTTACTGTCTCCACCCCCAGACACAGAGGGTGTGGCCACTTTCCGTCCAACCTCAAGCCCTTCCATGGGTTTTGAACAACGCTGTCTGTCATTCCCTACGAGGGCTACCTGCCTGCTCTCCTCCACCTCAGGAACTGGAGGCCACACCCCTGCCTCAGCCCTCAGCAGTACCTCCTCTTATACACGAGCCCTTGATGACAGATCACTCTTCCCCTGGCCCCTGATGCCACATCTGTTTGTTTTCTCTTCCCATCTCAGGGACACCAAGACTCTGTCCCAGGGTCTACCCTGCTTCCCTAACCAGATTCACGACTTCCACCCAAAGCCCTGTTCAGTAGAGGCCCTTTGGTCAAACGGAATCCTACACAGACATCCGAGGCGGGCTAGTGAGAGGCTCAAGAGGCAAAGACATTGGCTGCCAAGTGATGACCTGAGTCCAGTCCCCAGGGCCCACTGGGGAAGGAGAGAACGGACCCTACAAGTTGTCCTCCGACCTCTACACATGTGCCATGGCATGCACAGTACATGTGAGCCCCTCAACAAACAATAAATAGATGTGAAAAAAATCCAAGGTAACATTCAGAGCAAAGCAAGATGGCTATGTCCTAGCAAAGGGAGGGGGTCTTGGCCTGCGTCAAAGCCCCTCTGGGACCCTCAGACTCTAGGAATCATCTGAGAACTGCCAGCCACACTACAAGCTCTTTGGTGAGGAGTCACCACCTCTACAGGCCGCTCTTAGCTTCAGCTTCCCTTTCCAGGCTATGGCCTTGGTGGCTGGCCACCCTGAGAGCATGGCGCATCCCCTTCCTGCAGGCCGGGGCTCTGCGGGCCTCAGTGGTCCATGGACTCCAGCCCGCACCCCATTTCTTGTCCAGCCTGGTGCTAAAGGACGGCAAAGAGGAGTGGGGGCAGGGGAAGGAGGGAGTAGGGGTGGGGGGTGGGGGGACTGGATGGGGTCGGGGAGAACTCAGCAGGAGGCCCAAAAAACGCACACTAGCCGGCTTTCTTGGAAGTTCAGTTCCCAGCAAGTGTTCGGCTCTCGCTCTGCCCATATTTGACTGTAACTGAGTGAACTCGGCCGTCCCAAGTGCTCATGTAAAACCTGTCATCCAGCCAGGAGGCCAGCTGTCCTGACGGTGGCACATTTCTACCATCTTAGCACTTGGGAGACAGAGGCAGCAAGATCAGCCTGGGCTACACAGAAGACCCTCTCTGAAAAAACCAAACCAAACCAAACCAAACCGCCTGCCTCTGTCTCAGCACCCACCACCCATGGGGCTGGCTGGCTTGCGGCTTTCTCCCGCCCCCTGGACACTCCGGCCCAACGATGAGGATATCTAGAGTAGCCCACCATGAGGGCCACGTGACAGTCCACGGGACTCTACAGGCAGCCGCGCCACACCCACCTCATCCTGCAGGTTGATGTCGCTGGGCCCACGGTTGAGCTGTTCCTGCAGGCTAGAAACCACTGCGTTGTTGCCAGGGACTCGGTAGATGCCAGTGGATTCTAGGCCCCGCGCCTCCACAATCCGACAACAGGCAGCCACGATCAGGGGGACCCGCTGGGGTTGCAGACAGGGGAGAGGGGTTAGGGATAGGGCTGGAAGTGGCAGAAGGCTGATGTGAGGAGAGCACACAGCCCAGAGCTGGCGCAGGACACCCGAGAACTTCGATGAAGCTCTGACTGCCTCCTCCCTTCTAAGGGTCAGAACTAACATGAGCCTTTCACCACTGACCTAGAAGGGACAAGCAAGGGTGGGCCTCGGTTCAGTAGGGCCCTCTGCAGGACTCGGGGATCCCCTCTTGGAGTTGGCCACGAGGCTGTGTGTATGAGGAATAGGCTAGTGCCATATTCCTAGAGCTCTGGTTCCCTGGCTGGGCCTTCCATGCACTGCCTGCTTCAATCAGCGTGGGCACCCACCTGGTTCTCAGTGGCAGGCTGGCACTCTTCCAACCGGATCCCAAACGCCCTTGGGGCAGCCTTCTTGTTCTTCTTGATGATGTTGATACCCCAGGGGGTTTTGGGAGCTGCAGCACTGTCTTCTGGGATGAACAGTGGTAAGAGAACTGGATCAGCTGGAGGAGCCCAGAGGGTCCCACGCATTCAATGCCACAACCACACACTAGGACACAGGCTTCGCCAAAAAGCCACGGTGTTGAAAATGACATCCACTGAGAGAGGGTTTAAAAGATGAGGTGCTTAGCCCCCAGGAAGGAGACCACGGCTCCATAGAGGTTCTTGTTGGCCTCAAGGACCGACCTGTGAAGTGGCAGTGTGTTGTACATTTTGTCATGACCAAAAGAAATGCTTTCTTTAAAAAAAAAAAAAAAAAAATTCTCTATGAGATCGAGGCCAGTCTGATCCACAAAGTGAGTTCTAGGGTAGCTAAGACTGTTATACAGAAAAACCCTGTCTCAAAAAAACAGGAAAAAAAAATCACAAAAACACACCACCATGGCTGACATTTACAGGAAATTATGTGTGTATGCATGGGTTGTGTGAGTGTGTACAAGTGTAGGTACCCAGAGATGTCAGAGATGTTGGGTCTCCTGAAGCCGGAGCTACAGGTAGTTGTGAGCTCTGGGAACCCCAACTCTGGTCCTCTGGAGGAGCAGTCAGTGCTTTTAGTCACTGAGCCATCTCTCCAGCCCAGGAAGTGCTTCCTAACAGCCCAGAGCATAAAGATGGGTGCTGCCTGCAAGTGACCCTCTCATTCCCAAAGGACACAAGCAGAGACCAGAGGACCATCCAACTGGGGTCCAGGAACTTCCAGCCCTGAAGCCTTGAGGATCCAGACCCTCGTGGGCTCACACTTAGGACAGACATGCTCAATAACCCTGGACACACACTGCCCAGCACAAGCACACAGTGTGCCCAGCCCTCCTACCCTTGCTTCCTGCAGGCTGGTCCTGAGTCCTGAGGCCGCGGACTGCAGTCTGCTTGAGGAATTCAGACTTGAGGCCTCCCAGGCCCCGAGAGCCTTTAGGGGAGGAATCGGCTTTGGGCCCAGAGCTATGGCTGCAGAGGGAAAAAGGGAGGAGGAGGAGGTGTCTTCATCTGGGGTGACCAGGCATGCCATTCTCACTGGCCTCCATCCCCTCCAGCTAGAGACGATTCCCCGGGGCCGTCTGAGGACGGGAGATCTCTGCCTGGGGACGCCCAAGCTTGCAGGCCTCCTACCCCACACCACAGGCTCCCCTAGAGAACAGGCCTCACCTCACTTTCCGATAATCATTAAGCTTCTTGCTGATCAGAGCTTGGTTGGCAAAGCCGGGGTCCTGAGCGGAGGAGAAGAGAGACGCCACGTCAGCGCCCGCAGACCACCTCCACCAAGGCTCCTCCCTGGCCCCCGCCTCAGCCTTGCCTCTATCCACCAGGTGGACAGGACTGACCCTGGATGGCCAGAGGCCAGGGCTAGACTCCCTGGGCAGCTGTGTGACTTTGGGTAAGCCATCTGACATCTCTGAGCCTCAGTCACCTCAGCAGGAATCACAGTAGCTAGGACACAGCAGCCCTCTGGGTTGGGTGCGGAACTCTGTAGCATTCCTCTCAGGCAAACCAAGAGAGGCAGCTACTGCAGTGACTAAGGAGAAAGCTTGGCCAGGCCTCCAGAACAGGGGACCCAGGCTCCTCAGGAGGGGAGAGCCCATCAGCGAAAGTGCTTGTCCTGGGTGGAGCCTAGGCACACCACCATTGGTGGACACAAACCTCCTCTGCACAGGTATGGCAAATGACCTCTGGGCAGATCAGACCAAGGGAAGACATTGGTGATTCCCAAGAGAGATGCCAGCGGCTTTTCTGTTGTTGGTGGTTTTTTTTTTTTTTTTTTTTTAGCTGTCTCCAAATCCCCACCAAATCACTTGGCCTAACCCCTGCCTACCTGCTGCCAAAGGCTAAGCCTCTGTTAAGGTCAGCGTGACTGTCCCCCAACTTAGTACATCTGGGCAGGACAGCTCATTCCGTGACCCGTTCCATGGGAGACTGTCCACTCTGTCCTGCCAGAGGCTATGGCCGGCCTGGAGCTGACCTCTCTGGGGCAGAGCTTGCCCAAGGCAGTCCGGACAATAACAGTAATTACTGTCCTTGACGCGGTTGTTATTGTGTCTGCTCATCACTGGACCCTGAGGAGGCCAGCTGTCCTACAGTCACTGTGTCTGTCCTCACACCCAAACCCAGGGAGGCGGTCCCAAGGTGGACTCTCAATAGCTCTATTTGCTAGGAAAGGGAGTGGGGCTCAGAGTGGCCACCCCAGGTCACAGCAGCTGAGAGGAGGCCTGCCTTGCCCTGGTGGCCCGCTGGGCACGAGCCCAGGGCCTCACCTCGCCCTCGGCCCTGCTGTTCTCCCGGATCGCTCTGATCCAGCCCAGCATGTCATCCCGATCCTCAGCCTGAAAGAGATATTCACAGAAGTCAGCGGTGGTCAGCCGGAACACGTGCCTCCTCTTGGTCTCGCTGTAGGAGATGTCCACCAGGCAGGAGCCGATGCAGACGGGCGCCGCCTCGTCCTCACCTGCGCCGGCCGCCGCAGCCCCCGCAGCCGCCGGCCCGGGCTCCCTCCGCTCCTTGCTCAACGAGAGCGAGCGTGCCCGCAGCACAGCATAGACACGCTTCCACTGGCGCAGGCCGCCGCCCGCTTTCTGCAGGGAGACACGGGGTGGGAGAGACAGGGAAGCGATGAGAGCCAGGCCTGCCACGGGTCTGCCCGAGGCAGCAGCCATGGACCACAGAGGAGACAGACCCCGCCTCCCACATACACCTGGGCAGCCTCCAGCCAACAGCCCAGTGCTGGGCTCTGCCCACTTGCCCAGACCTCTCTACCTACCACTCAGACCCCCAAGATGCCAACCTCTTCCCACTCCAAATGCCAGCACTGAGAAGGAACAGGGGCTCCAGACAGCACTGAGTCCTTACATCCCTGTGTATACCGAGTCCTTACATCCCCTGTGTATACCCCGAGTCCTTACATCCCTGTGTATACCC